GTGTAGATGAATGCTGAGCCGGTGGCAGCCACCACCTCCTGGTACCTCTGGTAGCCCTGGGGTCCCCACCGCCCCTCCAGCGGGTGCCTGGGAGCAGCGCTGGGCCCTGGGCAGCTCCCGGCAGGGAAGGAGGCATGAAAATGCCCACATGCATCAAGGGTTGATGGAAAAGCAGGAGAGCCAGGTGGGCGTGCTTGGAGAGGGCATCTCGGGAATGGGTGATAAAGCTGCTAGCAGCGTGTTTCAGCTCAGCAGCACCCGTGGGTGCCTGACCGAGAGCCCCAGTGAGAGACATCTCTGCTTGGGCAGGACCCACGGTCCCGCTGTCAGCTGGGCCTTGGAGCCCAAACCCAACTTTTGGAGGCTGGCTGAGGCAGTGCCACGCAGTGCCGGCACAGGGCAGCAAGCCCTCGCTCCCTGCCCCCAGCGGGGCTGCCGCACTTCCCCCCATGCACCAGAGCCACCGTCCTCATCCCGGGTTATTCAGCGTTTGCTGTTGCGGGGGCAAGCCAGGCAAATCCCCTGATTCCTTCTTTTACCTGTGCAAGGACCATATTGGGCCCCATTTATATCCCCCTCCCTCCCACCACTTCTCCGCTCCTGGTGCTGGACGAGCGAGGCCGTACAGCCCATCTTTAGCCATCTCTCGGCTGAAATCCCTCTTGCTTGTTTTTCGCACCCCACCACCCACCCAGCTCCGAACGAAGCTGCGCTGTGTTGTTGTGTCTCTGATTTCCTAGTGTCGATTGGGCTGATTTTAATTGGTTTGCATTTTCAGTTGTTTTTCGGCTCATCAGGAAGGATAACTGGAATAAAATCTTGCCCTCTGTGCTCCTCTCCATCCATCGTAGCTGAGCATGTTAATCTGAAGAATGGTGAAGGCAGGACTTAATCCCTGTGAAATGTTTGGAGGCTGCTTGTTAAGCATTACATTATTCAAAACACATTAAATTGTCCTGAATTTGGAGGAAACATGTCTCGATCATCAAGCTGATGGACATTAACAGTCTTCTGCCACAACTTTGTTAAATTTGAACTAGATTTAGCTCCTGCCTGCCTTATTCCCATTTTGCAAGGGAAGCTGTGGACAGGAAACTGGCAAGGAGTAGGAGGCATAAATTTGAGATTCCCACAGCTTGGACCGCCAGCCTTATATAAATCCTTTTGATTTCTAGACTTTAGAGAAATACGGTTGGCATCACTGCCTTCTGTCGACCAAGCAGGAAAGTTGAACCGGTAGTCCGGGATGCGAATGCTTAAGAGTGTGGAGGTGGCTTTAAGCTCTGAGGGTGGTTTAAATGTTACTGCTGGGGAAGAGGGAGAAGGGGAAGTAACACATTTCTCAACATTTCCAGGTTTACAAAACCTGTATGCTGAGCTAGAGGCTGTTAGGCTTGGCTCAGTCTCAAAATGAGGAAAACTGGGGAAAAAAACCCATATATATATATATACATGACACGCATGCGGTTAACTTCTTCAGCTCATTACTAATACTTGTGTTTGCTATCTTTTAGGAAAATGGAAAACTGAATTTTGAAAGTTTGAGTATTGATTCGTAAAGGATTTTGTAATTACTAGTTATATCCCTTCTATGAGCATCCCTATTAGAAGCCCCTAGAGGTGTCCTGGTCTCCTGTATCATAGATCTGCCACCGCCGCTGTGAAAGCGGACTCCTGCCTTGCTGGGGACTTGTAATAAGCAAATGTCGGTGTTTCCTAGCTGCGAGTTAGCACAAAAAACCAGCGCTGAGGATTTGTGCAAAGAGCAGAGGCTTCTTTTGCATCTGTTGGCCGTGATGGATGAGCAAGGATTTACCATCCTCCCGCTGGTTCAGTAGCAGAGCAGCAGGCAGGCGGATAAACCCACCGCAGAGCAGGCACCGAGGCGCTGGGACGGGCACGCACCATTTCTCATTCTGACTGCCAAGCTGCCAATTACGTGGCAATTAGTAGAATAAATGTCTATGATATGTTTACCCCTCCCTAACCATTTTATGGCTTGGTCATTGTTCAGGGGGCAATGCGTCTCTCTCCAAGCTACCTTGACTTTTTTATTTGTTAGCCTTAATCGGTTATATGGTGTTAATTATACCTCTAAGCCGACTAAGCCCAAGGAGCTCAGTCCTGTGCCCTTGCCAATGTGGCTCTTCATTTCCCTCCTTTCGTCTCTCCCAGAGGTCAAAAATAGCCGTCTACGAGAAAATGTGGTCGTACATGAAGTCGGCCGAGCCCTCGGTGTTCACCAAAACGACGGCGGACGGGGTGGCGCGGGTGCGGAAGTCGAAGGGGAAGTTTGCCTTCCTGCTGGAGTCGACGATGAACGAGTACATCGAGCAGCGCAAGCCCTGCGACACCATGAAAGTTGGCGGCAACCTGGATTCCAAGGGCTATGGTGTAGCAACCCCCAAAGGCTCAGCATTAAGGTGGGTGGAATAATATAACAATATCCATGTTGTTATAGTATTCCACCTACCCTGATGTATTGTGTTGTCATTTTCTTTCTTGTGGATTTTGAGGTAACTTTAAAGTTTAAAATCTTCGATATTCCATGGAGTTAAATAAGACGGTAAATTATGGTTCCGTTTATTTAATGCATCCATTTTTTTAGTGTTCTCTTCGTGTTGTCCTTTCTGATTGTTTGTTGCTGTTTTAATTTTACAGTTCAATGGCTTTTTCAATTTAAATGGTAAAAGCCGAGTTAACCTGCCATATGTGACGAATGTTAACTGCATGATGTGGTGTTCTTGTTACTTTTTTTCTCAAAGACGATTTCCCCATCCCGCACACTTCAGTTTTGAGCAAATGTTATCCTCCATGCCACCTTCCAATATTTAACCCTGTATTTGCTGTACAGACATTTTGATAGCTCCACGTTCTGTGAAATTTTAGCCAATTTGTCCTCTTGTGCTCCTTTTTTTATACGTTACGATTTCCTAAGCATTTGTGCATTTTTTCTTACAAGTTATGTTTTATCGTTTCAAGAAATGCTGTTAACCTGGCAGTATTAAAACTGAATGAGCAAGGCCTCTTGGACAAATTGAAAAACAAATGGTGGTACGACAAAGGAGAGTGCGGCAGCGGGGGAGGTGACTCCAAGGTCAGCCTCAATGTCACCACAATCGGGTACCTTAGCAAAGAGTAATCGGCAAGGCTGTTATTTTACTTCTCAAGGAAAAAAACCAAAAACAAACCAAAACCAACCGAAAAAGAACGCAGTTTAAAACCGTTTGAATAATTCTGGTGGGGAAAAAATAAGCCATTTGTTTGCCCAGTAGCTCTTTCAAAGAAACAGTCTTGTTTAATATCATCAGCAGGCTTGGTCAAGCTTGGAAACCTTATTTAACTAACAGATAGAAAGTCCAGTATTGGTGGGAGCTACGCAGAGCAAATCGGTACTTGTAACTGTACAAGAAACCGGTGATCACATCTGGCCGCCGTGCGAACCCCTGAGGTCAAGGCTTCGGTCCTTCTCCATGATTTAGCTGTGATGCAGAGTGACTTTTAAGAGGGTTTTTTTCACCAGGATCAGCTGTGCCAGCACAGACCCGGTGGCGAGAGGGCTCCCTTCTCCTTTGCTCTTTTGGGGAGGGGTCAAGCAAACCAGTACCAGCACACACTGCTTTGCTGGCCTGAACTGGTGCCACCAGAGCCCCCGGGAGGAAGCCTGGTCTCGGGAGAAGAGCTGCTTGGATGGGTCTGCAGCTCAGGGAAGGAAGGAAGGGGCAGCTGCCCATCTAATTGCAGCATGGGGTCAGGGATAAGAGTTAAGCAAAGGCACAATGTTACGCAGAGGTGGTAGTCACCCGTTAGTGGTAAAACAGTGGCAATAGCGGTAACGTGTGAGGAGCCAGAGCTTGTAGTAGGCAAAGCTGAAACAAGAGCTACGTTGCTTACAACGGGGAGGTGTACTGATGCACTAAACTGGAAATGAACCTTAAGGAAGGAGGTTTAGGTCGTCTTTGCCTAGAATATTCCAATGTCAGCTGCCATTGCCCAGTCCTTGGCAGATACCCATGCAGAAGTGCTGTGTCTGTGTTTGTTGTGCTTTTGATACCGATGTGGATTAAAATCCTAGCTCCGGTGATGGCAGTGGCTAAGCTGTCTCTGCCTTCTGCTGAGCTGAGGCTTCCTCCAGACTTTTGGGCAGCCTGTATGGTAGCGAGACTCTCAAAGTTGCTTTAATGAGCTCACGTATTTCAAAAGTTAATTAGTGTGCTTTCACATTGCCAATCTTGCCCTGTCGAACTGGCAATTTCTGCAGTCTTTAACCTGGTGAGGAGAAGCTGAAGCTAGAGTAAGCTTGGTACTATTGCTCACTTTGGGTACAGGAATTGCCAAGAAAATGAATTTAAAATACTTTGTTATACTGAAAAGTACCAAGATTCATTTTTGTAGTGACACTCTCCTACAGCGAGTAAAACCAGTTCCTTAGGGAACAATAACTCCTAATCTCTCTTATAAAAATGCTTCAGCTTTGGTCCAAAATCAATAATAACAGTATTTTCAGTAAACTGCAGTTTCAGACAATTACTGCAAATTACTGCTGCATTCTATTAATAAGAGTTGCTTACAGTTGCCTACATAGGAAATTACTCAGCTACTCATCTCTGATGTTAGCAAAAGCCACTGTGTGATAGTAAAGGAAGGAAAAGCTCTGGAATTCAGGTATGTTCGATAGCTGGCGGTCCGCAGTGCTCAGCATCAGCCTGGAGATGAGCGCGAGCTTTTTTATCCTTTTTAGCTCTGCTGCTCATCCTCCACGCAACATTTTTACGTTATACTTGCCAGTATATTAAATGTTCAATATTCTCCTGGGATCCAGCACCACATTGTCTAATGCTGCCTCCACGAAAGAAAATTCTTTGTACAAACCAGCTTCAATGAACTTCATTGCTTCGAGTTCATTGAATTAAAGCCGGCCAACTAATGCTTGCAGCCCTAAGGAAACTAAAAAGGATTTTTAAAATGGTCATAAGTAGGGCAGGGCCATCCTTCTATTGTTGCTTATGCTGAAAGGCCTTTTGCAAAGAGCCAACCCATCCATTAGCAAGCCCTTGCCCCAGTCAGTGAATGCGGAGGGAGCAGAGCCAGGCATGCTGCGATACCATGGATAGGTGTCCGGCGAAGAGGGAAGGCAGCGAACACGATGACTCGTGCTTCCCTGCTTTAATCTGTCTATCACAAAGCGCTGTCTTGCCGCAGTTTGTCATAACACGCTGTGATGGAGGACTACTTGTTTGTTTGAGCTACAGACGTCGGCGCTCGGGGGCACGGCTCAGCCGGCAGAAGTCCCCAGGGAGGAGAATGTGGGTCGGAGAAGACCTCCCGCGGAAGACTAAGCTAGGGGCGGCAGGGAAGGGGTTAGCCACTATTTCTAGAGATGTTGTAAATCAGAGGGCTTTTTTTGTCACCAAGTGGCTTTTCTTCGGAGGGAGCGTTCTGTGGGCAGGGATCGCTGCAGGCTGCGATGCCGCAGCGTTGCAGCAGACAGGCAGGTCCCTTCCGGGCAGCGCACGCCCCCCTCTCCAGCCACTAACGCCCAGCTCAGGCTGCGCCCCGGCCCCGGGGAGCCCCGCTGCGCCCTTGGGGGAGCCGAGCACTGGCGCTGCCCTCTGGGCGCTGTGCCCCGACAGTCTCACTGGCCCCTCTCTCCTCCCCTCCATCCTCCCACCAGAAACCCGAGTTTGCCCTCATCATCTCATCCCATCTCTCCGGTTAATTGTTTATATGAACACGGCTTCATTTATAGAGCATTTCAGAGGGGTTGCTTCAAAACTGTTCTTTTTTTCCTCTTCTCCCTTAAAGGAGGTGGTAGCTGGGGGGAATCGGAGAGGACAGGGTGTCGAAGGTGCCTCAGGTGGGGATGCAGACCTCGCACCCCACCACACGGGGCGGCACGGGGACCGTTACTCACTCGGGGCAGCTCTCCCTACCGGCTAAGCTGACAGACCACCTTCTCTTAGCTTCGCCAGTAGAGACCCAGGCTTGGGAAAATTGCCGTCCCGAGTTTGTAACCAGCCGCTTCCTACCTCCTGCTGATGGGTTGTGCGTAGCTGTGAGTCATTGCAGACTGATGGTGCCAGTTTCCTAAGCTGAATTCCTCTGTGCAATCCGATATTCCAGCTTGCGCTGAAAGCCGGAGGTGAGTATGCAGCCTGTTTGCGTGTGCCAGTGCCCATCGTTGTTCGGCAAAGGACCCAGTCACCCAGAAAATGCCCTCCCGCGCTCATCCTCCCTGCGGTTTAGCGTGCGGTTCGCCTGTGCTTGGAGACGAATGATTCCGAGTTGGGAGTTCACCTCTTGTTACCGTATCTTCATCGCCACGGGGAAATTAAACGGTGACTTCAAGTTCCGTAAGGATTTTGAGTCTTACAGCGGGAAAAAAAGAAAAGGTATTCAATTGACTTTCTGCAAGTTCTTTAATCCGTTTGGTTGCCCAGGCTGTGAGGTTACTCCTGTGAGCATCCCATGCTCCTGGGGTCCACCTGTAACTTAAGACTAAAGAGATCGTGTTGTTTTAATGAGATTGTTTTTAAGGCCTTGGCTGACATCTGTCTCATTTTCAGTGCTACCGGCATGTGCCAGCGCTGGCGTGGAGCAGAGGGGGCCGGGTCTGCCCTGCAGAATCCTCCTGGCTGCCGGTGCTGCCCTGGCGAAGGGAGTTACCCCGTTTCGGTAGCGGTCCTTATTCAAGGAGTCCGAAGGGACCGTGCCCCATCCCTGTGTAATTTGTCTGTGACGGATGTCAACACGGCTGCGCTGGCTGGGCCGGTGCAGACATTTTGGTACACATGCATCAAAATTTGTTCACTCAGCTCTCCTAAATGAGGGTGAATTTAGTTTCATCCGTTGGGATTCATGGCAAAATTATGCTTCAAGTTCCCTTATACATGCAAGCTGAGTTCTCAATCATGAGAGGATGCAAAACAGCAGTTACAAAAAAAACCCCAACATATTCCAGGAAATATGTTACAGTGTGTTACGAATTTGGAAACTAATTATTTTGTTTATTAGACAATCCTATCATCTGAGAGCTGAGCGATGGCTGAATAGGAGTTTAACAAGAAATAGAGACAAGGGGATGCAGAAGGCAGCAGCAGGCTGAGTGACTTAAGTGAAACTAATTATTCAGTTGCATAGGAACAATTTTCTGCTGAGATAAATTTCTATAGTTCCACTGTTGGTACATTTCTTGTATTCTTATACCTTCACGGTAACATTTAATGACAAGCAACACAGAAGGAGATTGTTTGAATGCCGCAGCTCACCAATTTCACATGCCATGATTCCTTGCTAATTATTTGACTTAATTTCTTTAATACATTCTTTTGGGGGCTGATATCTCTTTTGGAGTACATCTGTGAAATGACATGCGATATAATACTGCTTCCTTTTTCAGTCGTTTCTTTTTAATCGTGGGATT